AGAACGTCTAATTGAAGAGAATTGGCACTGGCTGGTTACTTCCGGGTTGTGGACTGGCTGCAGTAATGCGTCTCTGTCCATGCGGGGGCGCTCACGGTCGAGTGCAGAATGAATGGGAGTCAATGGGGTTTCACCCCCAGAAATCCACTTTTCTCAGAATGTAATTTTTTGTCAAGTAATTTGAAAGTTGCATTCAAAAGGGAGGGCAAAGAAAATACACTCAGCTGAAAATTGCGTTTTTAAGTTCACTTATCTGTTCTAAAAATCCGCTCAAAACTGTGATGACGTCACACAATAGCAGAATGCTAGCGTGATCCGGCCAACAACGGCCTAACCTGTAAGAAATCAAAAGGTCATAAGCACTCGTTCATTCGACTTTTGGCCTATAATCTATATTGAACTTGCGGAATCAACAATAAAATCGATGTTGATTTAACGACAAGCAGGTGAAAGAGACACATTTAGCCGTTTAGCCCCATAGACTCCCATTCATTCTGCTCTCGCCCGTGATCACCCCCAGTGGAATTCTAATGGAACTGCAACCAGGATGATCCACAACGGGGCTAATAGGAAGTGCCGAGGCTCTCCGTTAGACGGGCTCTGCTCAGACACACGGAAAGAAAGGAAGATTTGAATGGAGGAAATAAACTCATCTTCTTCTTTTATCTGAGAGGAAGGAACAAGCCGTGTCCCCTGAGAAAACAGAACAATGCATTTAGCAATGAGAAAGAGCTGAAAAAAAGCAACAAAGAAAACAGCAAATCCTCTTTGTGTGGCTTTAACAAGGCGAGAGTGATGCAGTTAATTGTACGTGTGTGTGTGTTTTATACGAGTGTGTGTGCTCTTTCTCCTGCCAGCTTGACGTGCTCTGACGTGTAAATAATGCAGACTAGTATCAGTGCAGGTCCATCTACTGCAGTGCATCTTTACATCAAACTAATGACTGATGTAGACGGCTTGTGCATTAGAGAACATGATCAACAGAGGCTGAACGAGAGAAGACAAGGAAGAATGAACAACTGTATTATGGTGAAATTTAATCACACCAACTCCTCTGACAGCACGCCGATAAGACTGTGATCTCACCCGCTCTCCATTACAGAGAGAGAGAGAGACATAGCAACCACTCTGCATCCCAGAATACTGGCAGAAGTAGACCATGACAACTCCGCAGCGATGTGACAGAAGCAGGCGATGGAAAAACACAACTTTATATAGAAAACTATAAATACTCCACCCTAACGCTCAGCAAAGTGCATCTCAAACTCTCTTCTGACGCGTCCGTCTCAACAGATTACATATCTCTGCCAATAACATTACAATGAGATGAGAAAGAAGAACAGAAAACCTGCTCATGAAAAGTGTGGTGTATAGGATGGGTCTGGATGGATGATGGATGGCGGAGCAATAGATAGATCGGTAGAGATGGGTGGATGGATGGATGGATAGATGGATAGATGGATAGATGGATAGATAGATAGATAGATAGATAGATAGATAGATAGATAGATAGATAGATAGATAGATAGATAGATAGATAGATAGATAGATAGATAGATAGATAGATAGATAGATAGATAGATAAGTTACACACAGAGTGGCATCATTAGTTTTCAGCGTGAATGCCGTGTAAAACACACAACACACATCTAAATCGAGAAAGAGCTTTGAGATCGACTGTAATTTTTTATTTTATTTTATTTTTTATTTTATTTTACCGGTTTTATTTTATCTCAATATGCTGAATTTAGCAGTAAAATCATACCCTATTGCATTGATAACTCATCTGTTAAATATTAACCATCGTATATTCTGCATAAATGTATGTTTTTAAATAAACACTGACAAAAAAACTACAAGTTTTAGAGCTGGACGATATGATGATTTATAGGCTAAAACATTGATATAAGTGATTCACCCGGATTTAGACCTTTATATTGTATTTATATAAAGCGTTCACAGCAAATTTGCTTTATATTTTTCCCCGGCGTGGAAATCAGGCTCATATCAATGTCAGGAAAACATGATTTCTGGCCGCACGTCGATATCCAGGATCACTGGATCTGTGGTTGTAAGGATCGCGATATCGAGTCCAAGCGATAATCGTTTGATTTACTCGTGTTTTCTCAGTTTCCTCTACTAAACCCAGTGCACTCGGTCCGGCTGAGGGAGTGTGTTCCCGTGGGAAAGAGACGTCAATGCTTAACCTCTATTCAAGTCAAGTCACCTTTATTTAGAAAGTGGCATATCAGCTGTGGGACACTCATCTCACATCTCATATAATCCACTGAACACCGGAGAGAAAACACAGTTCAGTTTTTAATATTTGGTTGAGGTATCACAACGAGAAGCACGCGGTGTTCTTGTGAAACATCAAGGCTAGGAAAACAGATCCAAGCCATCTGGAGGAAAACACTGAAGGAGAAACACTGGCAACTTGTGGTCAGTGCAATGACAACACACACACACACACACACACACACACTCTTCAAAACCGCCAAAGCACTTCTCAAACGCTGGTGATGGGTTTTGATAGAGAAGGTAATGTATTATTTAGAGCGCCCGAGGGAGGGACGCGGCGTCTTGAGAGAGGAAGAGGAGTGGGGAGGTTAAGATGGGAAATTACTTTATTTATGTCATAATTCAGAAGCCATTTCAAATGCTTTGGGTTTTCATTATCAACTAATTCCTCATTAAATATGCAACTGCAAGACAATTATTATATGCGTACACTGAAAAAAAATAATATGCTTTATCTAATCAATAAAATTGTGGCAACATATTACAAGCAATATTATTAATTAAATTGTACAAATTAGAATTAATTAGAATGTTAATTTGATTAACTATTACTCAATTCTAATTTGTTCAATTTAATAAATAATATTGCTTGTAATCTGTTGCCACAATTTTATTGATTAGATAAAGCATATTCATTTTTACAGTGTAGTATATGTAGATCTGATGTCCATTCTTATTGAAATTGTATGGTGATGTATTTATTTTTTAATAACGCATCAATCATGTATGTGTTAAAGTCCCCCTTTATCCCTTAAAACTCATCTTTGATGCACCAAAATTACATATTTGTTTTTTTTTTTGTCTTCATGCCTTAAAACATCTTGAATTTAACTCAACACCATTGCCTCATTTATTGTATTGGTTCTAAATGGGCCCCACATCCAATCACTCACTCAGCTCAGAGATCACACACACTTTGATCTGATTGGTAACCATAGATATATACACTAGACCTCACCTTGGGGTTCTAAGCATGCGTCAAAACCGCCGCCATCTTGGAACAGGGGTCTTGTCATAGGAAGTAGCTAGGTAATGCTGCTATCTCTGCCTACTTCGAATTCATTGATAGTGGCGGACTTTTGTGCAGCGTATGATGTTCACGGATGAAATCTGAACTAGGAAGAATGTTTTTTTAAAAATTTCTTTCTGGAATCAATGATAAATACATGTCTGACCGTTGGAACAAACCCAAAAAACAAGAAAAATCGCATTCATGATGATTTATGGTGATTTTATTTGCGTTAGACCTGTGTCTACTACATTGACGCTGATGCATTAAAGTGGAGGGGCTCCCCTGTTTCAAGATGGCGGCTCTATTGACGCATTCGTTCCAATGAACTTCCGTAGCCAAGGTGAGGTCTAGTGTATATGTCTATGATTGGTAACAAGGTAGTTGTGACGTCAGAAACACCAAAATACTCAGCAATGGTGTTGACTTATTGTATATTAAAAACACCACATAGACACATAAACAACATTAAACGCTTGATTTACCCCTCAGGAGGACTTGAACAGTTATACAACAATATTATTAATAATTCAGAAGTAAAATATGGACTGACACCTGTTATACTCCACTATTATTCACATCTAACTGAAGACAGCATTCATTATCAAAACAGTCTAAATGTCTGCGGGAATCAATGAAACGATCAGCAGATGCACTGAAGAAACCCAAGGGATAAACATTCCTCACTGGAGCCAAAACATCAATGCGCAATCTTGCAAAATTCTCTTTTTTTATCTTCATCATTACTCATTGGTGTCACCTTTACTATTTACCAACACAAACACACCACAAGCTGCTTTAGAAAGCACAACAATTCCAGTCTGAGACAGATGGAAATCAAGACTGATTGGCTCTTTGAAAGCCAGTACGATTTTTGAGGATGATTGAGTAAGAAGATCCACATCTGAGGCTTCAATCTTCATGTCTTCATGAAAACTGGGGCAATTTAAAGTTTTAAGACTCAAAATCACATGCAAGGTTAAACCCTTAAACACAAAACAGTTTAGATGCAATTATCTAATCAGACCTAAAGCAACATGTCTGCATGTGACTCACAAATTAACTCTGGATGGTCACTAATAGCTAAAAAGCTGTAATAATATCATCTAAAAGAAAACATAAAGATGATTGATTGTATAACGGTGACTATAGGCCTATATTGAACAGAACCACGTGTTAAAATAAAGGATAATGAACAGCCTAGCTCTCCAGTTTACAACATATGATAATTAATAACTAACATCATCATTTGTTATGTACCTCTTCTCAGAGAAAGTGTCTTTATTGGATAATGTTAACATCCAAAGCACTGAAGGCCGCTCAAAATATCTCGTTTAGTATTAACGTACGTCAGTGCTGTTATTTAATAACTTACACCTGTTTTATTTGATATGGTAGGCTACAACATGTCTTCTATATTAATCATTACTAGTCTTCACATGGTTTTTCGAGGTTTTTGCTAGAATATCAAATTGTTATTTGTCACATTTAACATTAGGTGCAATTTTCTAGCTGATATCACAGTTAAAACTGCTTTAAATTGGAGTCATCGAATGTATTCAGCCATAGTATTTCTGACAGGAGTAAAGTGTCCACAAAAACATGACATGTCCAAAACACATAATATTATGAGTTAAAAAAAAATACAAACACAATACAAGCAAAATAGTGAAAATAAACACGAACTTACTTTGACTCTCGAATTTCCTGATGATCGTGTCGAGGAAAGTGTTTTGCGGCGCGACGTGCCCCCGTCGTACCGGCATCCTCGCGCGCTCAGTCCAGCGAGTGTCACGAGCTCAAGCTGACCTTCCTGCCACGCTCCGCGTGCCCTGGGCACGCGCGGGTCCACACGGCGACGCGCGATCTCCCCGCGCTCTGGGGAACTTCATCAGCACGAGCGAGCCCTCAGGAGAACAACACGCTATATTTACTTATCCAACAGTTTCCAGTTTCCGAAGATTGTTTACGTCGTGTAATCCGTTAAAAAATGAGAAAGTATCGTTAGACTAATTTACTCCGTGACATGTTGGACGCTGAACTCTGTGCGACTGGAACGCGCTCGCGAGGTACCCTAATTTCCCCTTTGTCCAATTAAAGCGCTCTTCTGGGTTTTCATACGTCAAAAAACAAATGTAAGAAGAAAAGAGATTTCTTCCTCTTGCTTATAAAGAAAGGAGAAGCGATTCATTTGACGGCGCGCATCGCTCTCGCGCGCGCTCCTCCCGTTTCGATGGTGACCAACGACAACAACGAGCTCGTGAAGCTGGATGCCCGCGTCTGTTTTAACTACAATACAAACACAACTAAACTTAAATAATTGCTTATTACTAGTATAGCACATTTATTGCTGTGTGTTTCTGTTTAGTTCATTTCATTCTGGTGTCATTTGTCTCCTTTCGCAGGTGTCGAACCCTTGATGTCGTCATCTCCCGGGCTCTTGAGGAAAAGGAACAGAAATCACGGCTTTAAATTGGGATACTTCACGATTATCCCGACGAGGATCCCGAACGATCACCGAAAGCTCCATGCGAGATCCTATAACTCACCTGACAGTTGCGCGCGCGCGAGAGCGCTTTCAACGCGCTTTGTTTTCCACCGTCGGCGGCGTCGCGCTGTCAGAGACTGTACATGATACGTCATCTTCGGTGCACGCGTCGCGGGCGTGGGGTTTCCCTGCGCCGTCACGCGCGTGCAGACAAAAGACACTCCTCGTGGTCTAAAACACCAATATTATGCGTATATCATGCGGAGGTTTTCAGTGCAATAACAACGATTTTGCAACTTTTTGCTTATTAGCCTAAATAGCAAAATAAGCGAGTCGAAGTCGTAGTGAAATGAGGGCTTTTGTCCATATTTATCCAGACTGCATCTCTGCCTCCTCCCCATCAATCCCTCTCATGCAGTAGCAGTGACACACTTACATTCACAAGGGGGGAATGAAATCAAATAAATGCATGTGTGCTGCGGTGCATCTTTGTCTTCAATAAACTGCCACACTAGTAAATAAGCCCAATGTTACCAAAAAGGTTAGTTTAATTGTATTGTATATGCAATTGAATTGCATAATAAAACAGTTTAAACTCATAATCATAAAATGAATGAAATAAGAAATCAGTGATTAAGACCATAAATTTAACAAAGGCTATAGATGCAATTATGCACATTTAGAAATAAATATACTTGATGTGAGAAGTTACAGTATATATAAAATAATGTTTTATATATCAAACCACAGACAAAGGAAAAAATCTCTCTACTTTAGTAAAATCGTCTAATACACTAATTTGCTACAAACCATTTATCGAAGTTGGCAATAATAATAATCAATTCTTTATAATCAACGTGAGCTATATTCATTAAAACATAAAATATTAAAGACTGAAAAAAGTAATAAATCCAAACATAATTTAAAGGCTGTACAGATTGTAGATCTCGTAGAGCTTTAGGAAATATTCAATAGAGAAGATTCAGTCATATAATGACAAGCTACATAAAGAAGACCGGACGAAGCGTTTCTGTCCATTCATCAGCGTCTCGACAGGTCTCCACCTGCGCAAACAGGAGAAGGAGATTCATTAGCAGCTTTTGGAAATATTTTATCATGCATTCTTGATTCTGAAAGTTGACTGTAATGAGCTCGTACACAAGAAAATATCATTAAACATGCATTTGGTCTCAGACACGCTGCAAAAAGCAATGTTCTTCCTTCATTTCCGTATTATTTTATTGATGCATTCATTTGAGATGCACAATATAAGGTGATTAATAACTTCAAAACTTCCCGTTAGTTTATTTTCTGATGGCAGATTTCTTGTTTGCACAAACTCACTTGATTTTCAGATTTTGCATCAGTAAATGGATGTTTAGATCATGGTACAAAATGCTGACAATGCATCATCATCATCATCATATATTTAATCAATGCAACCGCAAAGAGTCGTTCAAACAAACAAGTATTGGGCTGCCTACAAAAACTTCTTGCTAAATTCAGAATAATGATGTGCATTAAAGTGTTAAAATGGGCATGATGGTTTCATATCTCTCTCTTTTTCACATCTCAACAAAGACAGGAAGCTTTTAGCGCTAATGCAACACAATAAAGAGAAAAGGAAGCCAGTTGATGCTTTGTGTGTATTGTCATTCTTGCGGTGGATTATGGGAAATGCCGTGGTCTAGTAAACGGTCTAAATAAGTGTTCTAGGAAGCTTTATAGCAACAAATGCATTCAAACTCAATTGAAAAACATTCATAATGACAATTTAATTGAAAAATATTCAGTTTGCTTGATTTTTTTAATCGCCACACCCTCGAAGAAACTCGGCTCGTCTCGTAAAAGTCATTCTGACATGCCTTGAAAGCATAAGTCAGGCGATCTCCTCGGCACAAATGATGGCGACCCCTCGCTCTAAGTGAAGTCCCGCAGATTCAATTAGCTAATGAGATCAATCGCATTGATGAATGACTAAACACTGACGAGGACAAGCCTAATGAGATCAGGCATGCTGGAGACGCAGCGTACATTACAATCAGGCTCGTTATACATCACAACATGATGCTTCGCTTATGAATTGTGGAAATGCCACATGCCCTTCAGAGCTGACCGTTAAAAACTAAGAATCGTTTATGGATGTCAATGTGAATAAAGTTCATGATAAATGTCTGTTAAAATTGTTTTTTGTTCAGGATCTACTTCTCATGATTAACTAGTTGCTTATTAGGATGCATTGGCTGATTATTAGTACTTATATTAATGCATGACCATATTCTACATCCCTTAATTTAATCCAATACCTAAACTTAACAACTACCTTACTAACTACTAATAATTAAAAATATTATTATTTAAAGTCCCCCTGTGGTGTAAATCCAGCGTTTAATGTTGTTTATGTGGTGTTTTTAATACGCTTAACCATGTGTGCGTTGATAAGTGGACAGCATTGCTGAGTATTTCCTCCTTAAAACTGCAGTGAACCAAAGACAGTCTCAAAAACACGCTTTGGTGTTTCTGACGTCACAAACCACCTTGGAACCAATCAGATCAACGTGTGATCGACAACCAGTGGATCTCTGAGTGAGTGAGTGGGGGCGGAGCTCATTTGCATATTCATAGAAACACACATACTCAATGAGGCAAGGGTGTCGAGTTACAGTCAAGATATGGAAAAACGCTTAAATATGTAATTTTGGTGAGTTTTAACAGATAAAAATGGTCGACTACAGGGGGACTTTAACAGTGTTAATCACCATGGAAAACTAAACATGGGAGTGACAGAGTTTTTGTTTGTCCTCTCTAACAGCGCCAGTCTCTCTGAACCGAGGATGCCCCCGGGCTTCACCCACCCTGGCAGCTGGTGCACTCGCAGCTGTGGATGACGGGCAGAACGACGGGCTCCACGTCTCCGCTGGCGCACTGAAGGCTGAGGAACCGCACCGGGGTCTGCGGGTCGAGCCTGTAACTACAGCAGTCGCAGAACGCCTGCAGGTACGGCTCCTGAAACAGAGAGAGTGTGTGTTACGTCTCAGTTTGTGTCTACGCCCTAAACGCATTTACTCTGTTCCTGAAGATAAAAGTAGAGACTTTTTCGTCATACAATTCCGGTTGTTCTCTGTCACTGTACACTGACCTGTCAATCATCGTGTCACTGTACACTGACCTGTCAATCATCGTGTCACTGTACACTGACCTGTCAATCATATTGAATATATAAAATCCTCCACATTTCATTTCTTACAGTATCGGAGAGAAATGTTGATCTGCAGTCGTCTCCGGATATTAATGCATAATGATGAGCTCATGGCCAAACGAACCTTTATAAAAGCACACACTGTTATAGAGAGCCGAAGTGATGACGTCACTTTGTAGGACGACCCGGAAGCTAGCGGCGCATGGGTTCCTTCGGTCGAAAAGCAATGCATTTCCCCCATAGACTTTTGGAAAATCGCAAAAAATAAGATCTGTGTTCAACAAAGAGTTGTGTGACCCTTACACGTTTTGTCTAGCAAGATCATCTTTACAAGTTAATCCAAAATTTATACATTTTGAAGCCTATATAAAGAGTTTAAAAAACACAATCAGACACAATAAAGTTTAGCAGGTTATAATTGTGTGTTCTGTGTCAGAGATCAAAACGTAAAAATATTTAGAGGTTTTGTTCAGCACAGACCTTATTTCAGGCCATTTAGCAAAAACCCATTCAAAAATCCCATAGGCTTTAGAGCGAGGGAAGCGTGCTAAAAGTGCTAAAATGCTAACTCACTTCCGCGTTTTGGCCTACAGAGTGACGTCGTAACTTCGGCACTCGTCTTGGATTGATTTGATACGGAAAGCATCGTTTTACATTTAAATAAGAGACAAAGAAAAAAAGAAAAAAATCTTTGTAATTTTCTTTGGTGAGCCAAATATCTTGAAACTTGCATTTTCCAAGCATGAAATTTCAGCAGTTTCAGCCTATTTTTGCATTGTTTCACGGTGTGTATGTGAAATTTTAACGTACCATCGTAGTACTTTTGTGGCAACGTCCAACACGGCGGGAAACACTTGACTTAACCATGGGACTTAACGTGTAAATGCGCGAAACTAATGTAAATCAAGCAAGCTTGTGTGCATAGGCCACGAAATAACTCATCAGCGGACCGGAGAGAATAACATGGATTTTTTTTTACAAAAAAACCTTCAAATTCAAGCACTTTCAAGGACCTGTATCTTTGCATGTTTATTTTCAAGAACTTTCCAGGGCCTTGAAAAAATAAAATCAGATTCACAAACTTTTAAGGATTTCAAGGACCCGTGGGAACCCTGATATAAAATCCTCCACATTCCAGTATCAGAGAGAAATGTTGATCTGCAGTCGTCTCCTCATATTAATGCATAATGATGAACCTTTATAAAAGCACACATGAAATATAACTCGAATAACATTAAATAAACATTTTTTTTATCAGATTAAACTTTGATTAGTCACTCAAACCTTTATCTAAACCTCTCACCGTCGGTTGCACATATGCACCATGTTTTTTAACACTTTTTACTCATGTTTGTAGTTCCTCCTCCAGAGCGCAGTGGATTGTGGGTAATATTAGCCGGATCCGCGATCATCTAGAGACTTCTGGGACACTCTTTTCAGCATACTCTTATTTCAATCTCACACACTGTTCAGGATGGATCGTGTGGACATTGAGATGCAGGGAGAGATTTTTTTTTTTTTTTTAAATTACATTACTTTATCAATTCATAACAAAAAGACCACCACAAAATATCAAAACACGTCTCTTCCACCACTGAAGAAATAGCGCCATTGTAACACCACTGCTGTACAAACGTTTGACCATCATCCATAGCTCTATTATAACTCTAGACTTTACACAAGCTTTAAAAATCCTGATCATCTGTATTCTCAATTGCATTTCTCCTTGTAAGTATTGCAAGTTTTGCTTGGCCTGCTAAAAACTACCATTGCACCTTTTGATTCTGACTATAGCCAGATCCCAAAATAAAATAGAGAGAGAGGGAGAGAGAGAGAGAGGCCAGGACAGACGAGCCAAACACACTGATAACCATCCAAAACATCTTCACGCTACATTTGCTCAAACGCCAATGGCCTGCTCTCTCTGATGGAGCGAAATCCTGGGATCATTTAGAGCGTTTCGTCTCTAGAGATAGAGAGAGAGAGGGGGAGAGAAGAGAGAAAGAGAGAGAGAGAGAGAGAGAGAGAGAGAGAGAACACGAGATGCAAAAGAAGAGGGCAGATGTGAGAAACAGAAAGAGGTGTGAGTTTTTGGCGTTAAAGCTGCAGTTGCAGACTGGTTTCCATGGCAACCGGACAGAAGTTTCCATTTCAAACACATTTTAAAATAGTTGCAGCAACTGATGAAACATTTAAATCAAGAACAAAGAACACAGGCCTGATAATAATGGCGCTTCAGTACTGTGATGATGATCATAAATCCACTCTATGATGGTATCAGAAATAACTGATCAACATGACGTTTATCCATTACTAACATCTATCTTAAATTTTAAATCCTTTAATAAATGATATCAGAGAATATTACATAGTATATTTATAGATTTTTAGTTATGCATCTTTTCGACGTTACAACATAATATTTTAAAGGCTCATTTCTCTTGTCTTGTACAGCTTATATATATATATATATGTGTGTATATGAAGAGTTTAGATGCAAAAGCCTCTAAATGCCATTTGAAATTTTCTTCTTTAATGATTTAAGTTCAGTAATTTCACTTAAATAACAATTAATAGGTAATCTTCATTGCCATTTAAGTGAAATTACTGAACTTAAATATACAAGCTTGATAAAAATCATCATTCTAGAAGAAAATTTCAAATGGCACTTAGAGGCTTTTGCATCTGAACTCTTCATATACACAGTCAAAACATCAGATTTTGATATTGTTTCACTAGTGTGTGCAGGACTCTATAGTTCATTTATGTAAGTAAGGAGAGCAAAATAAAGTAAACTGTGACATATTACACCCAAATATTCTTCACTATCAATAAAAATTATACAAATTTGGGATCAAAAAGGATGTTCTGCTGAAGTGTGTTTCTGTAAGTGCTAATGCTCTTTTCACACACACACTGAACAACATTCGCATTGCTTGGTCACTGGTTGAGCTAAACTGGTATTATCTAATTGTGGAGTTCAATTTAACAGCTGACAGATATTCAACATAATTCATGTGTGAGAGTCCAACAGAAGGACAGACAAAACCAGTCAAATATCCACTGATCTGAAAACTCTGAGATATATATATATAGAAATTGACCAAACATTATATATTATATATGTGTGTATTATATTATATATATGTGTATTATATATAATACACATAAGTAAGTATAAATCCTCAGATTGACGTGGTTCATGCAGAACTGAATCTCGACACACACCTCCAGAATGACATCGGTCCGGGATAAACAGCGCCCCCTGCAGAAGCTGACCTCCACGTTGTCCCGGCGACAGTCGCCCTTGGTGATGTTCCTGACCTCAGTGTGACGACGGCACTCGGCAACAGGATCCTCTGGAGACCCGAAAGTGATGTTCATGGGAGAAAATGGGACAAGAGAGAGAGAGAGAGAGAGAGAGAGAGCAGGGGATTAATGGAAGCACATACAGTACAGAATCAAATCAGAACATAATTGTGTGTTGATTTAATGAAGGATATCTGGAAAAAAAAAATCGAAAGAAGATCGCTGCTTTTTAGATCCATGTTACCATTAAAACTTCCTTTTTAAAATCAACATGCAATTGAAATCCACATGTTTTCTTTCTTAGAGAGTCTTCTGATTGTGCACAATTCATCTGTGCATGTATTTATGAGACAAAATATTTGGTTTGGTAATATTTCATCTACCTGCTTCAGCAATGGTTAAAAACTTTAAATACATTTTTAATATCCGGTTTCCCTCAGAAATATTGTGTGTTACAGGGTCGAATAGTATTTCATGTTGACTTTAAATGTACACAGTGCTAAAATGTCCTTAAAATCCATGAACTGCTTAATACACAAAATATGTAAAAGAATAAATATAGTTTGAATAGGAAAACAGACAATTTTAAAAATGCATATAAATGCATTGTTAATTGCATGTTAGTTGGCATGTTAACTAATGTGAACAAATTAGCCCTTATTAATAGTTAGTTATTATCAGATACATCCCCAACTAACAGATTCCTGCATACAGTATATGCTAATAATGTTTGCCCTTCTGACTAACTATATGATTATTAGTTGCATCAGTTTCTCCCACTGATTTAGAAGATTCTCTCCTGCATTTAACAAGTCAGCATTTTTATTTCGCATAAATCCGAGCGTCCTGCAGTCTCTTGAATGCAGTTCCTCGGCTGTAGTTTGACTCAAACTCGGAGTGCCAGAGCAAAAGCTCAGTCTGCGTAATGATGTGTACTACTACATCAATAGTGTGTGGCACAAGGGCTGCGAGAACTGCTGACAAATATCAGCTCACTCTCTCCCTATTAGTGGTGTGTTTGGCGACTCTCACCTGGATACTGTCTCCGGCACACAGGGCAACAGTCCTCCGCTTCCAGCACCTTCACTTCACCCTGAACCACAGAGAGAGATGAAGTGAAGGACAGCGGCGGCGCCTCAGAATAGCTCACGTACAAACTAATGATCTATGATCAACGGCAGCGGATCGATCAAAACTGACTTTAGCTGGACAATAACCTTATCCTAGAGCTGCTGTAAAGACAAACACTCTGTTACTTTAATTTCATATTATCACTATAAAGCTGCTTTGAAACAATCTATTGAGTTAAAAAGCGCTGTATAAATGAAGGAGACTCGGACGAATGCTGAGCGACTCCCAGAGGTGCTCGTACACATTTACAGCCACAGTAAAACGGCTAATAAAATAAAGATTTTGTCTTGTTATTTACATATATGCACTCCTGGGCAAATAAGAATATCAAAAATTAGGCAATATCGGCATATGTTCATTTATAATGTTATTTATTAAAATGTGTCCGATATATTAAAGCTGATAAATAATGTCTTCAGCTGAGACACTTCAGATGCACACTGGTCAAAATCTAATACATTATATCAGAGATTATCTCAATAAATGCTTTAAAAAAGTATCGTTTGTTGTTGTTACTTCATGAAACCTTATTGTAAAGTGTTAGTTATTTGTTATTATCAGCCACATCTCCAAGTGACAAATAGTTCTTTAATTAAATAAAATTGGCAAAATAATTCTTTTAATTATTTAAATTAATTCTGATTTTTTTTTCAGCATTGTTTTTTTGCAGCTGCTAAATCTTTGTAGTATATGTGTAAGAGTTTCCACAGTCAGCGATGTTAAATCCGGACTCTTTGAAAACTGTTTTTATATCTGGTTTACTATGAAAGTGAGTGTTTATTTCCGTCCATGATTATAATAGTAGTTTGCAGTGTTGTAGTCGAGACCACCTCACTCGAGTCCGAGTCGACACCGAGACCAGTGAGGGTTGATTACCTAATTTACTTTTATTTACTTAGAGAAATCCTTTTTTTTTTTTTTTTTACTGAATTTACTTAGAGTTTAAAAAATATGATCAGTTTAGGGTAAAAAGGCCACATAGTAGGTGGTGTTAAAAGTAATTTTATTACAATTTGTCATGCGCAGTTGCGCACTAGAAAATCACCAATCACTGGGCATGTCAATCAATTTTTTTTAATTTTTTTTATTTAACCTTTATTTAACCGGGTTTGTCTCATTGAGATATAACATCTCTTTTTCAAGAATTTAAATAAATATTTTATTAACATACATTAATAATCATGAAAAATATTTTTAATTGAACTCGAGTGACTCGGGAATAATTCCGAGTCCTAAAAAAAAAAAAATGTTCGAGTACGAGTCAATTCCGAGTCCAAATGGACACGAGTCCATGACAAGACCAAGACCATTAAAATATGGTCTCGAGACCGAGTCCGAGACGAGTCCGAGTCACGAGTACTACAACACTGGTAGTTTGGAGTGAACAGGAACAATCCCACGGTGAGGAGTGACATTTACTCGAGCCGGCAGCAAAAATGCAAATTGTGTAATTTAATTTTGCACTAGATGAAGAAGAAACAAATGGTGTAGGCAGTATTTTTAGTGTTTGTCTGAGGCCGGGTTTAGGGATGCTGAGGTTCGGAGACGTCCCGGCCGTCACTCCAGAACAATCTGGGACTCGATCTCGGACCGGAGCGGTTGCCTGGACAACGGGTCAGTCTATTTCCAGCGTGTCTAACTGGCTCATTTCTGATGCAAGGCTATTCACTGCTTCACTGGCCGACACACACACACACACACATGAGTGAAACCAAACCGTGAGAATGCATGAGCAGATTTAAGACAAAACTAGGAATATATATGAAACGATATCAGTTGAACTGTCAGAAACAACGAGTTTGTGTGTGTGTGTGTGTGTGTGTGTGTGTGTGTGTAGTGAAGGCGAATGTCCGATCTCTCACCTCAGAGCACTGCAGTGGAGGACAGTTTGATTGACAGTGTTTCTGGCCATTGATACAGCGACATGACTGACAGCCGTCAACCCACTCCAACCCCGGCTGTGACACACAACACACAATGCAGGATTCAGATTTACAGACACTTCACTACATATATACACAGTCCCTGACAAAAGTTTGGAAACCTGACAATGCTGCATTTATTTGATCAAAAATAAGGTAAAACACTGAAATATTATTAGTATTTAAATCATCTGTTTTCTATGTGAATATACAGTAAAATGTAATTTATTCCTGTGATGTTCAACATCATTACTCCGGTCTTCAGTGTCACATGATCCTCCAGAAATCATTTGCTGCATAACATATTTGTGGAAATAATACCATTCAAACATTTGTGGTAAGATTTAACCAAAAAAGAGAGAGATTAATACCTTTATTCATCAGCGATGCATTAAATGGATCAAAAAAATGATTCTATATCAGATAAATGCTGTTCTTTTGAACTTTCTATTCATCAAAGAATCCTGTAAAATATAATGTATCACAGCTTCCACAGAAATATGAACAGTTCTCAACACTGATAATAATAATCATAACTGTTTCTTGATCATCAGATCCTCATATTAGAGTGATTTCTGGAGGATCATGTGACTCTGAAGACTGGAGTAATGATGATAAATTCAAGAATAAATGACACTTTACTGTATATTCACATAGAAAGAGTTATTCTAAAGTGTATTTTTACTGTATTTTTAATCAAATAAATGCAACATCAGTGAGCAGAAGAGACTTTGTTTATGTATCTAATTATTAGCACAATTTATTATAAAAGTGTATTGTTAATTTCTTAAGTTGTCATAAATGTTCCTTTAGAATAACTCATGAATTCATGTTTTCTTTAGAATACGGCCACTAATGGACCAGGAACATAATTGATCTACTGTTCATGTATTACTGTGTGTGTGTGTGTGTGTGCAGTTTTTCTGTTTTGTGGTGAAGGCGTTTTGGCAGCCACAGGAAGTGACATCATCAGTCTCGTCCACAAATCACTCTTCTTTAAGAAACTTTTACCACTGTAGCTGAATTAGACAGCCTCATCAGTTATTCATTATTGATGATGGCAATTATCTTTTCTCTTGAAATGCCCTGAGCAATTATCCATCAGAGTTATTAATGATGTTCCTGAGGAGAAATAAACAAAGTGAGCAGCAATTACAGGATAAAGGGCAGCAGTGTTGGCGAGTGATTGAGGGCTTTCCGGCCGTTTCATCCAACTATCGGTTCCCGGAGTTTGAGTGTTCGCACCGCAGGAACTGGGAACAATGGGAACCATTTCAGCTCCAGGAACTCCTTCTGTAGGAACTGATTCCCTCCTCCTTCAGAGCTAGAGGAACCACAGTGACGGTAGAGTTCGCTGATTGGCCGAACGCACGCGAAACATCAGCATCCGCCATTTTAAAAAACCCACGTAAACACACAGGTCCACTGAACACACAACAAGACATTTTAAAAAGCCGTGTAAACACAGATTATAGACTATATAATTACTCCAGGAACTAACTCTACACACATGTAGAGCAGAGATAGATGAAGCTCTTAATCTTAAACTCACACACAGCTTTGACGAGACCGAGAGAAACAGATCGTACACTAACGAACAGGAGAATGCGAATTCTCATCGCCGTCAAAATAAAAGTCCCAACAGCAAGCGTGTCTCAGGTCACTTCAGAGTTCCTGCCGGCGCTCGAACGACACCAGGAGAACGTTCCTAGAGGAACCGTCAAACACCCCTAGGCCAGATCCTAGAGCTACCGGTGTGTTTGCGAAGGCCCTGGTGTGTAATGCTACAGTACCTCTCGAATTGTCCCGTCGTCTTCTTCACACGGACAGAGCGCTGGAATCACACAGCGGCCGTCCAGGCTCCGGTAGCGGCCCTCCTCACACACACACCCCTCCGAGGCCCCGGCGCCGGTGCAGTTGAGCGGCTCCGGCCTGTAGAGGTCCACACACCCCCTCTCACACACTCGCTCGGACCCGGACACACTCCAGAGCCAGCGCTCGCCCTCAGGACACTCTGTGGAGCAGGAGTTAGTGATCCCATCCAGTTACAGCCACATCACAACACTTCATCAATAAATTATAATGAATAAATAAATTAGTATTTTTATTATTATATTAAAAACAAACATATGGATGAATATGTAAATAAAATTAAATAAATAATGAATATAAATAAATATAAATAAATATATATATATACAAATATATATATAAATAAATAAATTATTAAATAAATAATGAATATTATTATTAAAATATATATATATATATATATATATATTATATATACATCCTTTATATATATAATATATATATATATATATATAAATTTAATTTGTGTATATATCCATATATATTTATATATATGACAAATATATATATATATATATATATATAAAATAAATATATTATTAATATTAAAAAAAACATAAATAACATTATTATTATTATTATAAAGCCTGCCAGCTGACGCTAGTATCTGATTGAAACATTACAGGGAAAGAGAATGTCCCGCTGACACTGCACAGTGTGTTTCTCACCACATTCGGGGCCCCTGCAGACTCGCTGTGTGTGTGACGGGCCCTCACACTCCTGTCCTCTGTACTGGTGTTGTCGGCGTACGGTCCGGCTGGAGAACTGATGTCCAGAACCGCAGGACGAGGAACAAGAGCTCCACGAGGACCACACGCTCCACTCACAGTCCACTGACACACACACACACACACATTCAGTCATTTAACAGATGTCTTTGTCCAAAGCAACTTACAAATGCTTTGGTGTTCTAGTTGGTTGCTAGGGTATTTTAGGTGGTTGCAATAGCGTTTCTATGAAGTTGCTAGGGCAATCAGGGTGGTTGCTATGGTATTTTAGGTGGTTGCTATGGTGTTACTAGGTGGTTGAAACTTATGTCTCTTTTAAAATTCCTCTGAAGATTTAGTCAAAAGTTGTTATACAGTAAGAATATGAAGATAAACAAATAATGTGTATGAGGTCATCAGATGACTCACCGTCACATGACTCATTAGTGCAGATAAAGAGTCCGCCGTCACAAACACTGTAGTCAAACACACAAGACGAATCAGAGGTAAAAATACACACTTTTCATGCTTGATGTTCAGAAAACTGCCCAAGACAGAAAGAAACCTGTCGAGAACATCTCCATCATATTTCATTCTTTATTTTATTTAGCAGAAATAAAAAAACTGAATTTAGAGAATTTAAAAAAACACACAGGGCCTAAAACTAGCATTTTGCCACACTTGCTATTGGCCGGTGAAGAAAAAGTACTGGCCAGAAATATTTATAATGTTATAATTAAATTAAACTGTTATTTTGAAAAAAAAAAAAAAAAAACTAAAAGTACCAACACCAACATTTCAGATACAAGTGAAAATTCACAATTCTCTATTCTAATTTCGATACATAGCAAAAACTACTAGCCTACCTAATATACTGTACACTTATTAGGCTACTGTCACTTTAAGAGCTGCACGGATTCGATATTCTGTTACACGTGCATTTACTTACTCGACTGTTTCTGTTCACTTAAGGCAAAGCTGACTATGCTCACTAGGATACTCGTTATTTTTAATGCTGAATATGTCCGCTCAAGTGATTATGAAAACCCCAAATTCAAAATTAGAATATTGTGGAAAGGTTTTCATATCTGTAAGCCGTAATCATCAAAATTACAACAAATAAAGGCTTGAAATATCTCACTTTGCATGTAATGAGTCTATATAATATATTAGTTTCAGCTTTTAAGTTGAATTACTGAAATAAATGAACTTTTGTACCCTATTCTAATTTTTCGAGTTTCACCTGTACATTGCTAGAATTCATAATTTATTTTTGTTTATTTTTTTCACTCTTCTGTATGTCGAATTGATTTCTTCCCTTGTATAAGATACTGTTTTTGCAATAAAAAAAAATACTTTTTTTTTTTTTTTAAACAGTACCGGCCGCCTGGCGAGCAAAACACTTATTTTTACTCAAAGCTGGTGTTAATTTTAGGCCCTGTTAACACATGTCTTTTGAATGAAACTGAGCATTTACTTCAAATGATGTCTGTAATTTTGTGAGGGCATCAGATTCCTTCAGCCCCGTCAGAGTGACCTTCCTAAACATCTTGATATTGTATATGTCCACAGAGAGGATGTGAGCTTCACTTCTCGACACCGAGACACGCTTATAAAAGCATCAGTGAGTTCCTGAGTTATTGATTCTCCATCCAAAAACCACAGCTGCTCTTTCTCAAACACTCACACACACACACACACACACTCGCTGCGAGAGGAAGAGGGCTGATATAAACGCTTTGACGAGTACCATGAGTTGCACAGGTTTGGGACGACGGCTCCGGCGGGGACCTCCGGCTCCTGGGGGTCAAGGGTGACGTTGGGAGACGCTGACAGGAGCGAGAGGACGGAGCAAGGACACTGGGATTGAGGAACGCAGCTTCCGTTGAGCATCACCTGCAGACGGATTACACGAGTCAGTGCTCCAGGGACTCCCACAGCCATCGGTGTCCAAACCCCACAAACACAGCGGCGGCAGGAGCGGATGCTTAACTCAGACGGCTTTACTGCACAACACAACTAGACTGTCCATTATCAGAAGCAAGCAGTGCGGAAGCTGACACTATGATGCTAGGGAGGTGTCGGTGGTTGCTAGGGTGTTGCTATGGAGGCCTAGGGAGCTGCTATGGGGTTGCTAGGGTGTTCTGAGAATCTGCAAGGATGTTGCTATGGGGTTGCTAGGGTGTTCTGAAAATCTGCAAGGATGTTGCTATGGGGTTGCTAAGGTGTTTTGGGAATCTGCAAGGATGTTGCTATGGGGTTGCTAGGGTGTTCTGAGAATCTGCAAGGATGTTGCTATGGGGTTGCTAAGGTGTTTTGGGAATCTGCAAGGATGTTGCTATGGGGTTGCTAGGGTGTTCTGATAATCTGCAAGGATGTTGCTATGGGTTGCTAGGGTGTTCTAAGAATCTGCAAGGATGTTGCTATTGGGTTGCTAGGGTGTTCTGAGAATCTGCAAGGATGTTGCTATGGGGTTGCTAGGGTGTTCTGATAATCTGCAAGGATGTTGCTATTGGGTTGCTAGGTTGTTCTGATAATCTGCAAGGATGTTGCTATGGGGTTGCTAGGGTGTTCTGATAATCTGCAAGGATGTTACTATTGGGTTGCTAGGGTGTTCTGAGAATCTGCAAGGATGTTGCTATGGGGTTGCTAAGGTGTTTTGGGAATCTGCAAGGATGTTGCTATGGGGTTGCTAGGGTGTTCTGATAATCTGCAAGGATGTTGCTATGGGGTTGCTAGGGTGTTCTGATAATCTGCAAGGATGTTGCTATTGGGTTGCTAGGGTGTTCTGAGAATCTGCAAGGATGTTGCTATGGGGTTGCTAAGGTGTTTTGGGAATCTGCAAGGATGTTGCTATGGGGTTGCTAGGGTGTTCTGATAATCTGCAAGGATGTTGCTATGGGGTTGCTAGGGTGTTCTGATAATCTGCAAGGATGTTGCTATTGGGTTGCTAGGTTGTTCTGATAATCTGCAAGGATGTTGCTATGGGGTTGCTAGGGTGTTCTGATAATCTGCAAGGATGTTACTATTGGGTTGCTAGGTTGTTCTGATAATCTGCAAGGATGTTGCTATGGGGTTGCTAGGGTGTTCTGAGAATCTGCAAGGATGTTGCTATTGGGTTGCTAGGGTGTTCTGAAAATCTGCAAGGATGTTGCTATTGGGTTGCTAGGGTGTTCTGAGAATCTGCAAGGATGTTGCTATGGGGTTGCTAGGGTGTTCTGAAAATCTGCAAGGATGTTGCTATTGGGTTGCTAGGGTGTTCTGAGAATCTGCAAGGATGTTGCTATTGGGTTGCTAGGGTGTTCTGATAATCTGCAAGGATGTTGCTATTGGGTTGCTAGGGTGTTCTGAGAATCTGCAAGGATGTTGCTATTGGGTTGCTAGGGTGTTCTGAGAATCTGCAAGGATGTTGCTATGGGGTTGCTAGGTTGTTCTGAGAATCTGCAAGGATGTTGCTATGGGGTTGCTAGGGTGTTCTGAGAATCTGCAAGGATGTTGCTATTGGGTTGCTAGGGTGTTCTGAGAATCTGCAAGGATGTTGCTATTGGGTTGCTAAGGTGTTCTGATAATCTGCAAGGATGTTGCTATGGGTTGCTAGGGTGTTCTGAGAATCTGCAAGGATGTTGCTATGGGGTTGCTAGGGTGTTCTGAGAATCTGCAAGGATGTTGCTATTGGGTTGCTAGGGTGTTCTGAAAATCTGCAAGGATGTTGCTATTGGGTTGCTAGGGTGTTCTGAGAATCTGCAAGGATGTTGCTATGGGGTTGCTAGGGTGTTCTGAAAATCTGCAAGGATGTTGCTATTGGGTTGCTAGGGTGTTCTGAGAATCTGCAAGGATGTTGCTATTGGGTTGCTAGGGTGTTCTGATAATCTGCAAGGATGTTGCTATTGGGTTGCTAGGGTGTTCTGAGAATCTGCAAGGATGTTGCTATTGGGTTGCTAGGGTGTTCTGAGAATCTGCAAGGATGTTGCTATGGGGTTGCTAGTTTGTTCTGAGAATCTGCAAGGATGTTGCTATTGGGTTGCTAGGTTGTTCTGAGAATCTGCAAGGATGTTACTATGGGGTTGCTAGGGTGTTAGGAAATTGCTATGGTGTTCTAGGAAGCTGTTAGAACATCGCTAGGGTGTTGCTAGGGAGTTCTAAGAAGCTGAAAGAATATTGGCATTGGGTTTCTAGGGTGTTCAAAGCTGCTACAATGTTGCATGGGGTTGTTAGGGTGTTAGGACATTGCTATGGTGTTCTAGGAAGCTGTTAGGGTGTTGCTAGGGTGTTGCTAGGTGGTCTACAGATGTTATCCTTGTTCAGATCCCCAAGGCTTCTTTTGCCAATTTAATCTTCTGTGAGGTGAAATTCATGACTCTGATCTCCTGGAAAGGTCACATGATGTCTACGGGCGGGTCACTCACGGCTCCAGGCGGGCAACGGCACCCAGGACTGCAGGACACCGACACACACTCGTTCTCCGGCCACAGATCCTCACAGCTGTACGGACACGACCCGGCACATGTGCTGAACACCTGACCAGCGGGACAATCTGACACACACAACACAAGCCGCAATCCCAATTAGCATGTCATTTAAATAATTAGATTGTTATTTGAGGGTTAACGGCTGCCTTTAATACAGTCGTCTAAACGCAAATGAGTTGCCGGGTCCCATGAGGGAAGAATCTGCTGCTGGTTTAACAGAGTAAGTTGGTTAACAGAAGTAATCAAGCTGTTTGAACACACACTTCATCCTCTCGCGAGTCCATCTTATCATCTAAAAACACAACGAATGAACACGGCCGTCACACGCCGCCTCGTTCACTTCTTACAGATTCTGCTCCAGTGCGTTAATGCAAATCAGTGCCCGTGTTCTCTTAATATTTTGTGTATGCTCGTCGTCGACTCAAATTAGCATATAAGTGCACACAAGAGAACCACTCGGAGCTGTAATGCAGCTAAAAGATGGATAAACAAAATTATGGTTCTCCATAGAAACATTAAGCCATAAATGTGACACGAACATTGATTATGATGCCTGCATGAAAATGGTCAAAGACTGCGACTATATTTCACCTCAATATGAACAATTATATATTATGGAATGCATACAAGCATCCTATAAACATGCAACAATCAGAGTAATATTTTATATTAAGTCAATTATGTCACTTAGGATTTTTTATTTTTTCCATTTTAAGGACAATTAAGCCCATTTATCCCAATTTTTATTTTTAATTTTAATTTGTGTACTGAAACTTCAACTCATTCAATTCAATTTTCTATGAGAAATTATTTGCATCACATTCATATGAATTTGGGAGGTAAATATGAAGTAAACTTCATTGTCTTTATGCCAAATATACTTTCTTATTTTATTCCTGTGATATTCTTGATTTTCCAAGATGTTTTTTTTTCCATGAGATTCATGCAGGCGAAGCAACACACACAGTGAGAGTTATGAGTGTGTGTTGTCAAGCTTTATGACATCATAATAAAGTGGTGTCACAGAACGCTTCACAGGTATTATATGAGTGTTTGAAGGGTTTTATAGGTGCCGTGGCGTATACGTGTTTGTCTTTCATTAAGTGTGTTTGACATTGTTCAGCTGTCGGACATCTACTTCATGTGTGTGTGTGTGTGTGTGTGTGTGTGGGCATGTTTAGCTATACTTTAGCTATACAACTGTCCCCACAAGGATAGTAATACTTGAGATTCCCTACTTGGTGAGGACTTTTTGCTCAGCAAAATTAATTAATAAACATAATAAAATGTTTTTTGTTTGTTTTGTTTATGTAAAAATGCAGTTTAGTGTTTTGGGCTGTGTGTGTGTGTGTGTGTATAGCTGTACCAGGCAGGCAGTTGTTAGTGTTGCACGCGGTGTGTTGTTCGAGGGGTCGGGAGCAGGTCGGACCCCCTGGTTCTGGTTCCTGAAGGACGGTCTTCCTGCGCAGTGACACTCCTCCGCCACAGGAGGCGCTGCAGTCGCTCCAGGACGACCACTCGCTCAACACACAACCGGCTAACAACACACACAGAATAATTCACGTTAACCTCAAAAACATTAAAAAACTCATTTGCATATTGATAGAACCACGCATACTAAATGAGACAAGGGTGTCGAGTTACATTAAAAATATATTTTAAGGCATGAAGAAGGAAAAAACATTTAAATATGTCTTTCTGGTGATTAAAGATGAGCTTTAAGGGATACAAGGATTAACAAGGATACAGTGGTGATGGCGCAGTGGGTAAGACACATGCCTTTGGTGTGAGAGACCCGGGTTCGAATCCACTGTGAGACACCAAGGCGTGCGACCTCTGACCTCATATATAGCTATTGTAAGTCGCTTTGAATAAAAGCGTCAGCTAAATGAAGACATGTAAACTACAGAGAGACTTTAACCAAATGTGAGAGTTTAACCCTGTGTAGATCCATAATTAGCATGTGTGTGAGTGGCAGTGGGGTCACCTGGACAGGGCGCCCGAGAGCAGATTTCCCTCTGAAGGGTCTCAGTGCACGCCGGTCCTCCAGGTGTGTGTGTGCAGGTCCGTCGGCGTGTCCTCTGCCCCGTCCCACACGAGACCGAACACACACTCCACGATCCCCACGGGCCGTAGAGCGGACACACTCGGTCAGAACACGCCAGAGAGCCGTTGACACACACACTGCAGCACAGAGAGAGAGAGAGAGAGAGAGAGATTGGCATTGGTGTATTTATGGAGATATGCAAGAGCTTGTTATAAGTGTTAGGGATGGGCAACGATTAATCGCATCCAAAATAAAAGTTTGTGTTTACATAATATATATGTTTGTGTAGTGTGTATAAATACCCACACATGCATGTATATATTTGATAAAAATGTGTTATTAATATATCAAATATTTATATTTATATATAATATTAATTGTGAATAAATATATATAAAATATATACATGCACATATTTCTTAAATATATACATGCATGTGTGGGTATTTATATATACAAATTAATTATACACACTACACAAACATATATTATGTAAACACAAACTTTTATTTTGGATGCGATTAATCGTTGCCCATCCCTAGTGTCCTCATCCTTCCCTCGCGGTTTGTGTCAAAAAATGACACGAAACCCTAAAGTTATACTTATTTTACTTGTATTTTGTTACATTATGATAATATTTTGTCTATTTCTTAATGCCGATTGTTTTGAGATTTTTGTTTACCTTTAAATGACTAGATTTAATCAATAGGTGGTTTGCAGTCACGTGAAAACAAGCTATTAATAATCAAAAAAAATGTGTAATTTTAGCACATTCCTCACATTCTTTCAACTTAAATAAAAAAATACTCAAATTTTATGCTTAACCCTTTTAATTCAGCTCTAAATATCTCACATTGTGTGTCTTTGCTGATCCTCTTGAGTAAAATAATAATAACAGATGATATTTGATGACTCTAGATGAGCTTATATCTCTATATGGAGTAAATGAGCTGTCCCGCTGGGTCCTAAAGCCAGTTCGGTTCAGTGTGCAGTCAGATACGCATGTAGACGTTATTAAACTATAGTTTGGTGAAGTTGTGTCATAGAATAGATGCGGTCCTCTGACCAGGTGTTGCAGCTGACGGTGATGTTGTCTCCGGGCCGGATCTCTAGCGTCCCGTTCTCCACTGGAGCCCCACAGCGACACTCGTCCACGCGCACACACACTCCGTCCTGCAACAGCCGGCCGTCTGCACACCGACACCCTGCGCACACCACACACACACTGAGGTCAGAGGTCAGAACATCTCCACTTAAAGGGGTCATCGGATGCAAAATGCACTTTATATGGTGTTTTGCATATAAATGTGTGTGGTCACAACCGCCATACAATGATAAAATACATCCACTCCTTTTTATATACAGCACTCAAAACACAACATTGCATATTTCCCGTATTAGCCAGCAACAATAATGTACAGTATGTGTAAAGTAATGACCGTGTAAACACACTGCATTAAACCAAACAGAAGCATCATATGACCCTTTAAATGACTAAATGTAAAAGTGTACCTGGATGACAGGAGCCCTGCAGACACTGGACGTGACCCCAAAGGTCAGCGCAGCTGCGGGGACACTGATTGGCACAGGAGGAGTCAAAGACACGCCCTCTGTCCTCACAATGCTCACCTGTGATTGGATGAAAACATCACATATGGCTTATATACAGGTTTTGATTGGTCTCTTCTGCTCACCAAGGCTGCGCTAATTTGATTAAAAATATATAAAACCAGTAATACATAAGTGAAATATATTATTAAAATGTAAAGTAACAGATTTATATTTGAATATATTTTAAAATGTAATATTATACCTCAAATTACCCAGAGTATCTATTATACAAGAAAGTTGTGGCCCTGGATAGTTATTACAGCTTTATATATTTCTTATGCTATATATAAAAAAAGGAAATATATCATACAGTAGGATAAAAATAAAAATAGGATATAAATATGTTTTTTTAATTACTATTTAACAATTAACATTATTTATATTATCACTAATTATATATTAAATGAAATAAAATAATTATAAATATTTCTAAATTAATTTATATATATATATATGTGTGTGTGTGTGTGTGTAAAAATCGTTTAAAAAATAAATGTATGTATATAGCACACATCCAGTATTATGAGCATCTAAATGAAGATGTGTGTGTGTGTGTGTACCAGGACAGAGGCCTGTGTTGCAGCTCTGAGACTGTGTCTGCAGGTTCCTGCAGTGCGGTCCGGGGTCAGAGGTCAGAGGTCGGCGCTCCCGCTGCCGATATCCGCCACTGCAGGGGTCTTTACACACACTCCACGCGCTCCACACACTCCAGTGACACAGATCTGAGCAAACACACAGCAGACAGCGGCTCACCTCATGAATATTAATGAGGTCAAGACTGGACTGGCCATTTCACAGCAGTTTCATTCATTTATTTTTAAATATTATTATTCAGGTTTAACTTATTTTTCTTTCAGTTTCAGGCTCGTACAACACTTTTCAAGGGCTTTTCCAGCACTTTTCCAGCTGTTTTAATGTACATTTTTAATGCGATGATTTGTAAAGCTAAAAGTTTAAAGATGTGGAAAAATGAAAACTTCATGGCAAACAAACACTTTTATTTAAAAAAAGAAACTGCCAATATGATCAGTAGATGGCGGCAGAGGAACACTTATTAGCAATATATATATTCACATTACTGTTTTTCAATTCAAGCTCGGTGCTTTAATGTCAAATTCACAAACGTGTAATATTATTATTATTAGTAACTGCACTTATTGATGCAAACCAATAGGAATTTATTTTACAATAAAACTTTATGGTTAAAAATTAGTCCTGAATAAAAATAATTGTACTTTATTTCAGCTTGTTTTCAATCAACAATTATTTTATTTTTTTTAACAGTTTAAGGGTACGTTTACACATTATGCTTAAAACAGAGAAGTTTTTCCTCCACGTACAGATGACATCATCGTCAAAACGTTTCACGTGTGAAAACGACTAAAAGCGTTGTATTCTGCCGCCAGGCCAGTAGATGGCAGTGGAACACTAACGACTGAACACTTTATACG